TGAACAACGGCTCTGTGTAGTTAATGCTGCTCAATGTGAAAGCATGCACGTGATGGAGATTTACCGCTGATTACAGAACCGGCTTTACTGACAAGATGCGCGTTAAATATCGCATGCGATTTATCGTGCAGCCCTAGTATATTTATAGGTAAAATATGTATATGTATGTTAACTAATTTGAAGTGCTTCATTGGGGTAGGTGCTTTTTTAGTGCAATTCGCTCATTGCAGTTCTGATTGGTGGAGATTTCTCTGCAGAATCATGGGTAATGTCAGCTGATGGCTTCAACAGAAGCAAATACCATCATTTAACAACCTCGTAGCTCACAGTTGGTCTGTCTTCAGTGGTTTATAAGTTAAAATGAACAGGATTGGGTTCAAATGTTGCAATAAAGACAGTAAAAGCAGCTCGCTGTGGTTTGGAAAAAGTATGTTTGTGCTGAGTGACTGATCACGCCCCCATCTCTCTCATGTGGTTCCTCCCGTCCTCTGTGTGTTTCAGCTGGTGGGCTGCACCAAAGTGATCGTGAAGGGGGAGACGATGCGTCCATCCAGCCGCGTGTCTTTAATGGTGTTGTGTGAGACGCACCGTTCACACATGGTGAAACATCACTGCTGTCCGGGCTGCGGATACTTCTGCCTTTCTGTGAGTGTCTCTGACCACAACAACCATGTTATGGGAAGAAATAAAAAAAAAGGAAAACTCATTATTTAATCACCCTCATGTTGTATGTTGTAATTTAAAGAGATAGTTCACCAAAAAAGGACATTACTGTCATCAATTACTCACCTTCAAGATGTTCCAAAGCTGTATGAGTTTGCTGGTAGCAACTGACTTTTGCTATATTGACGAAAATACTGTGGAAGTCAGTGGCTACCAGCAGCTGGTTACCATTCTTCAAAATATCTTCTTTTGTGTTCAACAGAAGACAGAAATTCATATAGGTTTGGAACAACATGAGGGTGAGTAAAAGGTGAACTATCCCTTTAAATTAAATAAGTTTTTTTCACACAGTATAAGTATTTCTAAACAGCTGTTTTCCATACAACACAGCAGGTTTATTATAGTTAAATAAAACAAAAAAAAACGTATGAACTTGAAAATTTAAATGAATGAAAATTTAGTTGCCATGGCAACATTTCTTATTTTCATTTAGTTCAACTTGATGTACTATAATAACTAGAACTAAAAAATAAAAATAAATAAAAACTATATAGACATTTTAATAAAACTAATAAAAATGACAAATGTGCAACAAAATGACTAAAACTTCAAAATTACAATGAAAACGGAAAATATAAAAATAAAAACTAATTAAAACTATTATTAAAAACTATAATAGTATCTCAATAATACTAAAATAACAAAATTATATGCATGAGGCAGTGCTATTGTAGTATATTTTCAATTAGTTTTTATTTTTTCCATTTTTTAGTAATAGTAATTTAAAGGCACAATATGTAAGTTTTTTTATTAAAATATCCAAAAACCACTAGAACAGTGTTATATATTTTGCTGACTTGTGTACTTACATTATCCCAAATGTTTCGAAGAATGTTTAAATCCAGAGAAATAAGCCATTTTAACTAGTGACACGGACCGTGTCCATAGTGTCATTGTGTCGCCTGCCAATGACGTCATAACCCCTCCATTTCCACCAAAGACGCTTTAATATGTTGTGTGTTTTAATAGACCGGTGACGACCGCACAGAGTAGCATTATAACAGAACTTTCAAACGTATCTAGTATGATAAAACAGTGCTGCTTTACCCCACATACACACGACCAGAAGGAGCGGAAGCGGTCG